AACGCTGCTAAAACTTGTTAGGATGTACAGAAAGAGGTGAGTTCACTTTAGGACAGTACAGTTACGCCACTTATCTCGTCACTCACACTCGGTCACAGGAGAACAGATCGCCAGTTGCTCCACTCAAACAGGGAATGTGTAACTCCACGTTTCAGATGTTGCTAAAGTATATTTGGCAACCATAGATATGTTGGCGGCTCATTTTACTCATCACCCCCCCTCTCTATTCATGTCGAAAAACTTGAAAGTGTGCCCTCTCCTGGCGACAGCAGGGTAATGTCGTTTTCCTTCCTGTAGAAAACAACACCAGGGCTGTCGCTAAGAACGTGGAATTGTGAGAATCGTCTGTTATATCGAAAATTTACTGAACCTCTTCGATATCTTATAGTTCTATCGAGGAAAGTTGTATCGCGATAATTATCGTTATCGTTTTATCGCCCAGCCCTACCACCAAGGAACGGCTCAAAAGGAAGAAATGAAGGGTTCTGGAACGGCCAATTCAAAGCCGTTTGAATCTTAATCCTATTGAGATGCTGGGCGGTGATTTTAAAAAGGGCTGTGCATGCAAGAAACCCCCTCAAACATCACACAGCTGAAGGAATTCTGCATGTGGGAGTAAGACAAACTTTCTCCCAGTCGATGTCAGAGACCAGTAGACGGTTATAGGAAACATCTAATTTAGGGTTATTTCAGCCAAAGGGGGAATATCAGCTATTAGGTCATAGGGTGTCCTAACTTTTTCCTCAGTAGGAATTGGCATCTTTTTTCATTTTTTTGTTAAATAAATAATAACAAAGTCAATTTTTTTTATTGTTTTGCAAAGGTGATGCAATTACTTGCATCAATCAACTTTAGATACTGTTTAAAGAAGATCAAATATTGATATGTCCATATTTCCTATAAAGAACTAAATATTTAACGGGGTGTCTTCATTTTTTCACATGACTGTATCATTTTAATGTCCATATTTTTACTGTGGATATCAAAAATAATTTTTTACATGCACAAAGATACTTTTAAAAGTATCAGTTTCGGTGCTGGTATCGGGATATTAGCCATGGAATTAACTTGGTATTGGATCTAAATGAAAATTATTGCCCACCCCTACACTCAAGTCAAATTGAAGGCCTGAGGAGCTGCCAATAGAAACTTCTCATGACCCTACTGAGAATCAGAATGACCCTCAAAATGGAGGCAGGGATTTCCTCCAGGGTATGGGCGGAGAGGAAGTCTGAAAGTGTCTTTCTTTTCCCAAATGACGAGTAGGAGCACATGCTCCAGTTACTGTCTGGTGGTGAAACTCTGCTGTCATTTACTTTCACTTATGTCATTACATGCATTGTTGGTCATTAATGGACACTAATTTACACTGATAAATGGTGCTTTAAATTTACATGATTCAAATATGTCACTTGGCTGCAAATGAAGGAAATATGTTACACAGTTATTGTGCCGTGAGAGTTTACACAGTATTTTAATAGAGTAAAACTGACTGACGTGTTTGAATCATAAATTCAAAGCACCATTTTTTTCAGTGCACAAGAAACACAGTGAACTCCTGGTGACCATTCTTGTGGTTACGTTTGATGTGTGCATGATTTCCAGAGATACCGCTGTGCTCAACACACCTGCATATCAGATCATAATAAGTCATAACCCTTGAGGTTAGCGATGTCTAACTTTGCTGTTTCAGTATTATGGATCTGTGTGTATCTGTGGCAGATGATAATAAGGCTGCACAACATGGGCACATTATTTTTTGGATCATTTGAACGCCTCGATTCACAAACACCCACAGAAACTCTTCTGCAGTGTTAGTACGGAATTTGATTAAAGGGCTTATTGTATTGCATATTGGTGATATCAGTATTGCAAATACCAATATTGTGATAATAGTTATGCAGGAAATCCACTGATTTTTCTACATTTCTGGATAATCAAATGGTTAAAACTGTAAAAACAGTTATTTAGAGTGGTTTGATGTGAAATGCTACATTCTAACGAATCTTAGCAAGTCAGAAGTGCTCACAGTTGTAGTGGCAGGAACCACACATCCTCCAAAGAAGAGATGCTTCACAGCAAGTTATTACATAAAAAGGTTATGAATATACTGTCTGAGGCCTGACATATTGTTTTATAATAGTTTTTGGTGTAAAACATAATCTTAAAGCCATTCAGGGCAGGGAGCTACATGCAGGGGTGTCACAATAGTCCCCAACCCAAAAACCACCATTGTGGTATTATCTACATTACATATAAAAACTCAGAAAATGTGCAGGTTCACTGTTTTTTAGGACAATAAATCATTTCTGATATCTAATTACATTGTAGACATTGTGACCCCTGGTTCCTATCAGCACCACTATTAAGAAATCTTTCTCTAGAATGCACCATTTCACATCAAACCACCCGGAATGACTTTTGAATAATCCGTGGAATTCACCTTTAATAACCAATATATTGTGCAGCCCTAATATGCAGTATGGTAAATAGCTATACAGCATGATGACAAGTGCATTATTTTGGGATAGGCTCTTGCAACGAGAATCCTCAAACCCTGAAATGTGTTGATAAGCATTTGCTGTGCAGAGCTCATAATTATAGCACAGTGTTCCAGTCTTCCAGAACTACCTGCACTTCTCAAATGCAAGTGTCTTCTGTTTTCCTCCCACTCAGTTTTTTTTTCTCATTCTCTATAAAGCATTCAGCTGTACAACACGTGCTGTGCGCACACTACCGCACTTCCTCTTTCCGTCAAATACACGAAAAGGTGTAAGACAGAAAACAGAAGGCCTGTTAGATCTGTTAGATCTAGCACAGCAATAGATGCCGTAGGAAAAAAGAACTGCTGTAGGTAGTCAAAAATAGCCCAGACGATCTTCTGTATTGCTTTACATTTTGCTATTACGACAGCAAAACTATTTTGGCTGCTTTGAAATAATCATAAACTGTCATTATCTTTAGACTGGTTTGTGTTATAAGATCCAGACAGCTACTTCTGCACTTTCAGAGGCGAGCACTTCAGACGTGAACTGCTTCTTCTCATCATTTCCTCTAACAGACCTCTTCCTGTCTCAGACACTCCTTCATGTAAACAAGAGGAGATTTGTGCAATAACTCTCCAGCAGCTGTAATCGTATTTAAATGCCAGCTCATAAAGCTGCTCTGCGCGGCTCATTTTCAGAGAACACAGAGGACTGGCTGGAATAAAATGCTTGTGAGGTGGTTTTCGTATGTGCTTAACACATGTACAGCAGAACTGCGTTTCTTTTAAAACTTAAAAGGTATTTTGTTGGTCATTTACTCAGCACTTGAATTACATTTAACTTACTAACTAACAACTCGTTTGCGGTTATTATTGTGCTGTGTGTTGAGTGCAAATTGCTAAATCATTTACATGTAATTTAATAATAATAATAATAATAAGAAGAAGAAGAATTGAAATAGTTACATAATTAAATAGTTAATTACATCAAGAATTATATTTACATACGATTTACATTCTATATCAACAACTTTCAGTCTCCACTTCCTTTTTTTCTAAAAAATGACTACAAAATTGCAAAAATGTAAAGGTTGATTGTTCTTTACATACCACAGTAGCTTTTCATTAAAGAGGAATTCTGACCAAAAACTTGGATTTAACATGTCATTTGTCATGATTTGTCGTATTCTGCATTGCACACCTCACTGGTTTGACAGAATTCAAGATTTTATATTACTTTCGTGTTTTCATCCGTCAGTGTTCTCACACTACAACACTCAACATGCATTACGCAATTATGTTATACAACCCTTGAGAATCCCTACAGTGCTCAACTAATCCTGGCTGCTAGCTGCTACGTTATAGGAATAATTAAGTCAAAGAATTTGTCAGTTAAAAAATAAAATCAAACAGCCTCCCACCAAGTATACACACCAAAACAATTATACATACATCATCTAAACCGCTTATCCTTCTGGATCGCGGTGGGGTGCTGGAGCCTATCCCAGCTGTCACTGGGCAGAAGGCAGGATACACCCTGGACAGGTCGCCAGTCCATCGCAGGGCAGACAGACATACACAATCACACACACATTCACACCTAGGGGCAATTCAGCATGTCCAGTTAGCTTAACTGCATGTTTTTTTGGACTGTGGGAGGAAACCGGAGTACCTGGAGGAAACCCACGCAGACACGGGGAGAACATGCAAACTCCACACAGAAAGGACCCTGGTCGCCCGGCCGGGAATCGAACCCAGGCCATTCTTGCTGTGAGGCAACAGCGCTACCCACTGCACCACCGTACTGCCCACCAAAACAATTATCGATTTATAGAATTATATACACTCAGAATTCACTTCCACTTTCTAGATACATAATCAGAAGGGGGTTTTCGTAGTATTTAAACCAGAATATCTTGCTTTAAAGACTACTCTGACACCACTGTAGGATGCAAGTAGACATGTTTACAGCGGATGTAGCGATGATTGTGTTTCATTTTTGGTGAAAAAATTAATTAAATTAAAATCACAATAAAATATCCCCTTTTGTACTTAAAAACACAGAGACCTAAAGTTGAAAGTTTAGCATCTGCACTTCTGACACTCTCTGCGTTTGTTTCAACAAGTTACGATTGATAAATAATTAAACAAAGTGGTGTTTCAAGTTATATATGCCTTGGGTGCTTAGGAGAGTTAAGCTTCTTCTACTAGCTTTTATTGTGTTGTGTGGCCCCTAGAACATCATAGTAAAGTGCTTTCATTTTAACTTGTTGATGTTATGACTGTATCTCAGTGTTTTACATACCACAGTGTCCAGATACACACACATTCTTTGTGCAGCACTCCCTGCTTACTCCTCACGTAGTTGAGCTTGGCAAGCATAATGGTGGTAAGCCCACTATGAGGAGTCTACATGCACATCTCCCACCTCACATACAACAACAGATGATGCAGTAATCCTCTCCTCCAGTCTGGCTCTTTCTCTTGTTACATCTCTGATTGTCTTCTCTTGCAGGTACCCTGCCACCTGGAGAGCACACCTTCTCTTTTCAGTTTCTCATTCCAGGTAAGATCAAGGATCAAGTCAAATACAAAAGCTGCCTATGCTCTAAATTAAAGGGCCTGTATCACAGAAAACGGACTTATTTGACATACTATGTAAACATTTCATATACTCCACAGTGCAGTTCATCAGGGATGAGTCTGAATGTTTGAATATTTATAGATTCCTCATTAGAACCATGAACTCTGTTCTCCACCAAAGGGAAGTAAGGAGCCTGTGTCTTAAGTTTTGGTCAGAGTTTCTTATCCGTTTTCTCCAAAGAAGGAAGCATAGAAGTACTTAAAGCTGGCTAAGGTGTAACACGCACAAGAGGAGAAGCAACATGCCGTGGTGGCAGATAAAACAAAGCGCAGCTATAATGCATAGTAAGCATGGCGGACAAAAAGCACAGAAAATATCAAGCTCAAGCTCATTTTACACTCTACGTTTATAGATGTAATGGACTAAAACTTTCAGTATTATTTCGGGAATTTATCAGGTTTGTTATCAGCTAACTAACTCTTTACAAACTCACCTAAAAGGTACGAGGTGAATTACGAAGTGGCAGACTTAGATCATTAGCTGAGATGAAAACAGACGATGAACACATTTAGCCCTATAGCAGTTTAACTCCATTCACATTCGAGTAATATGGGGTGTTGTCACTGCAGACAGTCTGTAGCAATGTTGTTGGAGTAGAAGATGTGGAAATAATGAGTAAATGTTCATTATTTGATTGTTCTTGATCATTCATTATTATTAATGCTGTTTCTGGTTGTCAGAAAGCAAATGTATCACTGCAGCCCTAAATGCAGAATCCAGGCAATTTAACCACACAGAAAAATCACTTTTAATTATATTAACAGTTATAGCATAGAAGGGAGATCAGTTGATCAGTTTTATGATGTAGGTGTTCATTTAACACTCCTATTTTTTCTGTGTGTGCACGTTCCTAGTTTAAGTGACTTACTACATTACTTACAAGGTTTTACAGGCCTGACTGATAATAGTACAAGTCCTATCCCGTTCCTTTTCCTTCCTGGCTGATCCTGTTTTAAAAGAAGCTGTAGTTTATATATAAACTGATAAGTGTTGCCCTTTAAGGAGGTTTCAGAACTCTATTGGGAGCATTCTCTGAAGTGTTGTGCGAGCAGGTGTGAGGTCAAAAAGAGCTGAGAGTCCCTGAAGCATGGTGCTGGTGCTGGTGGTGGTGGTGGTAGTAGTGGTGGTAGGGGCAGTTGTTCTATTTTCAGCTCTTATCTTGTGGCACCAGCAGCAGTGTGTAAAACAGTTCTCATGAGTTTCTTCCTGCCCAAGCTTGACCCATTCCTCCAACTGGTCCTAGGGATGGTCACTACCTTTTTGGGCCTTTCAAGGTACCAGTGGATAAGTTGTAATGCTTTGAATCATTTGGTACCAAAGTTCATATTCAGCCTGGCCAAATGTTTAAAAGGTTTGTAAATGTTAAATCATATGTCACAATCGGTGTCCTTAGTGGTGACTCATTTCCTGTGTTCTTAAAATGGTAGTTTGACTCAAAGTTACATTTAAATGTTTTTTCCCCTCACGCTAAGTGTAATCGATTAGATGTAGACATGCTTAGTGTCTAATAGTTGCCTCTTTAGCTTTCCTTGGAACTACAGGGCTCAAGTGTGACACTACAGGATATACTGCTATCAAAAAATGGACAAAAACAGTAGCAACATCCTTCCTGAAGACTGAATTTTGTCTGTACTTTTAGTACGTCATACAATGTTAGAAGCAGCACAAACAAGTCTGTTTGAGATTTTTGCTTCCTACAGCGTTACCACAACAATCTCTAGAGTGAGATTTTCAGGTTTAAAGACATTAGAAGGATGTATTTTGAAGGTGGGATGATATTTTTGAAAAAACTACAGGTGCTGATACTTTAGATGGGCCTGTTTGAAATGTTAACATATTTAATGGTCATTTTAGGCCAATATGTCCCTATAACAGTTTGGCACAGGGATGCAAATTTGGCAAATACTTTTAACTGATAACCAATCCGTTATTTGTCAGTGATTAATTGTTAACCAACAAAAATAAAATCACAGACACGACCCATAAAAACATCAAACACGGCACTGCGTTTTATATAAAGGAGGCTTTAGGCTTCATTGAATGAGAAAACACAGCCTAATGTAACAGATATAAGTGTATAACAGATATGAACAGAACAGAATTGCTCAAAATCAATCATCACTCAGTCCGTAGCTTGCAGCTTTTAAGCTTTTTTTGTCAGGAAAAAGCAATTGGTTTACATAAGTTAACCAATTGCTAACTAACACATTTGTAGGCTATAGCTTAAGGCTACATAAGGCAACAAAGCAACATGGCATTAAACAGAGTCAGTTGTGGCTTAGCACTGTGTGATGAGACTAAACATCCTAGTTACCACAGTGCAGTTCTGGTGCTACTGGTTAAAATAAAGTGTAGCCGAGGAGTCGACTCTAGAAAACCCAAAGTTATGCATCACTAAGTAGGGCTACTGGAATAAGTGGTGTTTTTGTGCTCTCATGCAGTTCAAAAACAGTCCTCAAGTTGAATGAAAATATATACCAAAGTTTCTTGTTCATCAGAACTTTTTAACCAAAAGCATTGGTTGAACAGTTGTGTATTTGTCAGTTAATGGTTAATCGGTTAATCATCAGCATCCCTAGTTTGTCATGGTTTAGGCAAGTATATAATGACTAGGCGTACAGTTTGTACAATACTAACTGAAACATTACTTGTTAGCCACATTAGCATCAAAGCTCCTGCTCAAAACTAAAGAAGCAACCTTGGCTGATTATTACATGGAATAATTGGAATAACTGTGTACATTTGAACTTTGGCTGAACCTTCAGTTTAATGAAGCAGTGGACCATGCTATACAAGAAGTAAATGGTCATGCTGGCAAAGCATGACTTTAGAATAACCAATTTAAATGACACCTGTCATACCCAGCTGTGTGCTTACATGCACTTTGGTCAAGAGAGATAAAGCAAGGGTGTCATTCTCCTGCTTTAGAGGGCCATAGCATTGCAGATGTTTAGACTGTAGAGATTTAGCACACCTTCTACGTCTCAGCAGCTTATTATCAAGCCCTTCTTGAATTGCACCAGCTGTGCTATTGCAGGGTAAACACTAAATTCTGCATTGCAATGGCCCTTTATGACCTGAGTTCGACTTCCTTGGATTATGATAATGGCACACTATGCCCTCTGCTGTCAGATTGTAGAACCACATACTACAAATCCACAGCTTGTTTTAGTACATAATGATTTTTGACTGTATGGACATTGAGTTTGTGCTATGATTTAAGCTTTAAGGTAATAAAGTGGTGCTCTTTAGTACATGGCTGCTGAGCTTGAAAGAAAATTTGGAAGCATTCTGAAGTCTCTGATATGTCATAGTTCATTTGCATGGACACATTTCTTACTTCCTTGAGTGAAATTGTTCAAGCTATTGTTGGTTATACTCCTGTATGATCAGTGAATGTCATAGTTGGGTAACCTGTGGTTATCCAGTGTAGATAGTAGCACAAAGCAGACCTTGGCCTGAGGAAAGGGTTGATGGCAACTCCGGCTGACTGACTGGGCTCTCTGTGTCTGGCTCATTATCAGTACTTAGGTTACAGTTCTAACAATAGCCCTTTCTATAAGAATGCTCTAGGCATAACTGCCTTTCAGAGGAAGAGTGGGCTAAATGCCATTGCTGAAAGTTCTTATTTGCCCTTTCTGAGCTTGGAAGAATTGATTGAATGTTATTGATTCAAGCTTCTAAGCCTTTTGTTATGAAACAAGCAGATTAGTCATTTGGTTGGTGGCACTTCAGATGCACTTGATGTATTTGCCCTAAAACTGTATTGAGCTGAGTACTGGCTTTTTGGATGAATCTGCAAATTTCTACCGTGTTCAGCCTTCCATTCTCCTACTCAGACCATCCGAAAGTAAACAAGCCTTCTCTCATCTTTTTACTTGGAAGTTTCACTCTGTTCTTTTCCATCTTCCTGTTTGTCTTTGTCATCCGCCTCCATTATTAGCTCCACAAAATGAGCCCCTACTAGTCACTGTCCTATCACAGTGAAGGAGGAGGCCGTTTAGATCAGATAGATCTCTTCCACTGACAGAGCTATATCAAGCTCTGACTAATTAGCCCTAGTCTCCTTCTTGCAGGTCAGCTAAACCCTCGACAGAAATCTGTAATGTGTGTATAACTTGTGTATAATCACGTCCAAAAGCTTTTATCTGCAGTTTCAGTTTTAACATATTTTGAAAACACCAGCCGCTCTTTATATTGTGTGAAAAATCATGAGGAATGGACCAATGGAAATGCTCCAAAATAACTTGGAATAAAATCTATTTACGTGAACTTACATTAAAAGTTAAGTATGTTTTTTCTTCTCTTGTAAAGTTACCATTTTGGAAATCTTAAGGTTTTGTTCTGAGAGCCACAATATAAAAAGATATTTCTTGATGTTTTATTTAATATTATCAATTTAAATAATTGTTTAGTCAGGTTATCTGGCCTGATGTTTGATCTGCACTTTTGAAATATAATGAATTCTGGATATTACTACATATTCCCTTTACTATAACTATTATTATTATTATTACTCTGCAGCTCCATTCTTCATTATGGACACTGTCTGCAAATTTCTTTTATATTATTAAAGACGTTATTTCCAAACTTTTGAACAGTGATTCCAAACTTGTGAAAGCTAATGCACACGACTGTTTCATAAAACTGTAACTGTTTTAAATAAAGAGAGAGTTTTAAATGTTTTGATTTTATGAATAATGAACACAGTCCAAATGGCTAACTTTAAAAACTGTGTCATTCTCAGCACATGCTCCCACTTCCTTTGAGGGCCCATTTGGGAAGGTCATATACAGAATCAGGGCTGTAATAGACACGCCACGCTTCTCTAAGGACTACAAGACCCAGAGACCCTTCTACCTACTCAACATGCTGAACCTCAATGAGGTGCCTGATATACAGGTGAGTAGTCTCAGCACTCTTCATTAAATACAGAATAATGCATTGGATTCATTTGATTCAAATGTGTATATCATTTTAACAAACATTATATCATATCAATACGTTTCTTACAAAGCGTTAGTAACTGAAAGACAGAATTGTGTCGATGTGATTTGTTTTATTCAAGTGGCAATGCTGTAAACATTGGGATCAAGTCATTTCAGTGCATTACTTTTCTCAGTGCAATGTAATGTTACATATCTTTAGATTCTGAAAGTGCCTTTCCTCAAAACACACATTTTGTAGAATTTCAGTTGTTTTTTTAATTAAACCCTTACTAACCTACATATTTAAACTCATTTAAAGTTATGTCATTGTATTCTGTTACGTCTGTGCATTATAACAAGGGCAGGGTATCTTTACCTTTTTTATTTCCATACCAGTACCTTGATGGTGATGCCAATTCTTGAACAATGGTTTCTAAATACCTTTTTTATTCCAAACAAAATCTTACACATTATAGAAACATTATTACACAGTATAGACTAATCAAGAAGCAATAATAACATGTTAATAACAGGTTAATAACATGTATACAGAATATAATTTAGACAGCCAGTCACTATTTTTGAGCAAGCATGCCTTTTGGCTCATGGTTGCTCACATTAAGAGTACTGAAATTTTTCAACACTCTGTAGTATTGAAGTAATTCAGTAGGTACAATCTAAATAAATGTCGATATCCAGCCCTAATTATCACTAAATTCAGAATGTGTTTGGTTTGACTCCCAAACACTAAAAATACATTTTTCTTCCAGCAACCCAGCTCTGCTGTGACAACTAAGAAGTTCACCTACCTCCTAGTGAAGACAGGCACACTCATGCTGAAGGCTTGCAGCGACCTGAGAGGATACACTTCAGGACAAATCATCAAACTCTCCACTGAAATCCACAACAAATCTGGAAAAGACACTGGATATGTGATAGCTAGCCTCATACAGGTGGGAGGACGTATTTTCACAGGTTATTTTTTAACACACAGCAAGCATTTGTTTTTACCCCTTGATATAAAATGAAGACTTACATTACAAAAATTTCTTTTCAGCCTACTTTCTGTTTTATTTGTTTTATTTCTGAGGTTTTAAGCACCTCACTTAATATCACTGATCTCCATCTTTGCTCTTTTTCCTTTGGAGCAGAAAGTGACCTATAAAACCAAGCGGCCGATGTTCGACTTGCGTACCATAGCAGAGGTGGAAGGTGCAGGTGTGAAGGCAGGTAAACATGCAGAATGGAGAGAGCAGATCATTGTTCCTCCACTCCCTCAGTCTGGCCTTGCTGGCTGCAGCCTCATAGACATCGACTACTTCATCCAGGTTAGTCGCAAGATGCCTCACTCTCCACCTACTGCACATGAAGCACTTTAAAGATCATAAAGTTCTAGTGAATTTATTTTATTCTCAGTAAGAGTTTTCATTATGCTCAGCAGACAGTCTTAACTATTTTATGTATTACAGGGACCAAGATATTAGTAATTATGGAGGCCCAAGTGATAAAACCATAACAACAACTGTCTAAAGATTTTATTATTATTGATAATATTGGATATTTTCAATAAAAAGAGCAGTTTGTTATGTTCCTCTGTCTGGTATTTGCAGCAAAGGCTTGAATTGTGAACACTTGCATACTGAATAGACAAGGACAAAGACAAAGTCGAGCCATTCACTCTTAACAGCATAAACCAGCAAAGCAGTAAGGAGAGTTTTCCACCTAGCTGTTTTCAGCGTTCAGCTTGTTGAAGAGTACAAAAGGCTATGACTTTAAGAAAAATGTTTCAGGTTAAGACAAAGCTGTACTATAACTTATAGTTATATACAATAACTATAATTGCCTCTCACAGGTTTCACTAAAGTCTCCTGAGACAGTGGTCACTCTGCCCATCTACATTGGAAACGTTGCTGTCAACATGACTCCCTCAAGGCCGCCTCCACCAAACCCTCTTCAGCACACTCCTTTGCCCGCCATGCAGAGTCTCGGCCCTGTACCGGTGGTCCCGAGTGCTCCGCCTGCTGAAGATGACCTGGAGGGAGAGCAGGGTGCAGGAGGACTGGCCAGTGAGGAGATTCCTACCAAGAGCCACTCCCAGCAGAACCCATCAGGCCAGGCTCCCACCATGTCCCCCAGCGCATTCAGTCATGCCCCCAGCCAAGCGCTTCCTCAGACTCAGCACGCTCAGTCAGCAGAGAGCTCTGCACCGCTGTTCTGTGTCTCCACAGGGGCCACCATCCCCTTTTTCACTGACGGCAATGCCACTCCTGTGCCCACCACCTGCCCTCTCATTCTGCCTCCTGAGTACAGCAGCTGGGAATACCCACATGGTGAGTGACCTAATCTGTATTCAGTACTGTGCTCTGTTGATGTAAAGGGTGTCCCTTAGCTTAGAGCAGCATGAATTCCTGGTTTAGCTGCATATGCTGGTTTTGGTGGTGGTCAGCATAACAGCTTCTATTGCTGCTGACCAGCATAACAGCATCCAAAACACAACCTATGCTGGTTTTGCTAGTGACAAGCTATCTTGTTTTTTTCTAGCAGGGTATGCTCTCTAAGGTAGTTTCTTAAAGGAATATTCCAGCATTTTACAGCCCAGTCCCTGCCTGCTGCATCTGTATTGTACAGTTGAACACCAAAGATAATTATTTCAATGTTTTTCCCTGTAATTAGCAAATAACAGAAAGCCTGTTGACTCTAAACATATTTATTACAAAATTAAGAAATTTAAGAAAAACACATTTTTGTAGAACACATTCATTTCTTCTTTGCAAGGTGTTTGAGGCTTTAAATCTAGGACTAGTTTTCCAAAGGAAGGAAACTGTGGTCAAACATAGTGGTGTGGGCTGAGTTTTCACAGGCTCCTGCCTGATCCTGCATGGATGCCCGAAAACCTTACGGAAAACAATGTAACTGGAATTGCTTTTTTTTCTGTGTTTGAAATTTGAATAATTTGGATGTGTGTGTGTCAAGTTTGGTTCATCAGCATACCCATAAGCAGTGGTGGATGAAGTATACAAATCATGTACTTGAGTTTAAGTAGAGATACCCAAGGTAAAGTATTACTCCAGTAAAAGTAGAAGTTATTCCCTTTAGACCTACACTTGAGTAAAAGTACAAAAGTATTTGCCTTCAAATGTACTTAAGTATCGAAAGTAAAAGTACTAAAAGATTAATTATGACTTTAATGTCCTATTACCATTTTTGTAACAAGACTTGCTTCATTAACTCATTTAGGTGAAAATACTGTAGTGTCACTCTTGGTAAACCAATCTTTTAATAGAATGTCATTAATTAGTGACGCTGATGTCTATTAAAATTATCATAAGCACAAAACACTGAAGGCAAACAGTTTCCATTAGGTAGAACCAAGTGGCTCTGAAATAAGATTCAGTTTAAGGTTTATTTGCAACTCAGTTTGTGGTCTATTTACACAAAGTTAGGTTAGTTCCATCATTTATGTTGGAATAGACACTCCCAAAATTTTACGCTGCTCCAGTGACATTGAACCGTATGCTTGCACTGGGTAGGTACGTCCAACAGGTCAAAACTAAGTGCGCGCTGTCCCTGATTGGTGTTCTTGCCTCGCGCTTCTTTCGTTTGGACATGTTATGTTTTTATACATACATAAGCCAAAAGGAACGACAGATTTTGCATAATGTAGTGGAGCAAAAAGTAAGATATTTGACTTTGAAATGTAGTGGAGTGAAAGTAAAAAGTCACCAAAAATGGAAATACTTCAGTAAAGTAAAGATAGACAAAAAACTACTTAAGTACAGTAACGAATTACATTTACTTAGTTACTGTCCACCACTGCCCATAAATCTTTGCGTAACCTTATCATGGTGTAAACATCAGCCATGTGGCTTTAATTAGCCTGTTCTGGTCTTGTGCGCAGGGCTGGGCAATATGACAGTATTTATCGTTATCATGATAAATTACATCACAGTATGTCACAATATGCATCTCTTAGCATATCATAGATATCATCAGTACTTTAAAGAACACCTCCCAACTACACGTTTATATACAAAGAGAGCAATATTACACCTGTTTAATTGGATTGGCAGTGTAGTATGTGAGATGTTGAATACAAATCATTGGATTCATAGTTTTAGATTTTATTTTTAACTTTGTCTGTCCTAACTTATTAGATGTCAAAAAATAAATATCATAATACATTGCATATCGAGAAAAGTCTATAATGTGTAATAATGTTTTTTCCATATTGCCACCCATATTAGCTAGTCAGCTAGCTTTGGCATCTAATTTGCCAGTCATGTGAGGTCCATGTGAAATTATTCTGCCATTGTTTCCCAGGAGGGGGGAGCACTCTGGCTACCATCAGGCCATGTTGTTAGGCAGTTAAGAGCATTACACATTTTACAGAATGCATCGTGGTCCCAACTCTTCGTTGCCGATATCACAGCATGCTGGGATCTCAATAAAAATGAAGTGTGAAGAAAATGTCTTCTGATTATACAATGATGCAATGAGATTTTAGCAAAGTAACATCACTTTAGTGAAGTGATAACAGAGCTAAACTGTTTTGTTCAATGGGCAGATAATAAAAATACATAAAGAATATGTTTTCCTGATACAATGACTGGTCAGACATGATAAAGTGAAAATGTGTAGCTTACTAAGCATGTCTGGTCAGTTGGGGTATAAAAAAGAAGAAAAAGCGCTGAGAAGTTCAATATTACGGATACATCTTTATTTTATGAATTATATTATGAATTGAAGAGTAACGGTTAGCCTTACATAGTCATATAACTCAAACATTTGGTCAAGCCATTTAGCAACTGCCCAATGATGTCTGTTGTAAGTGTGTGAAGTAAATAGGGTTTCTGTTCTTCTCTATGTACAGGGCAGTATGTGAAAATTGCTGACTAGACATGTGTTACAGATGTGGCACAAAGGAATTACGTTTACTAACCTTATTAACTTTAATTTTCCAGGGCATCTCATATATCGTTATGCATGTTTTTCTTCTTTCTCATTTCAAGAACCACCTCCTACTTATGAGGAAAGCTGCAGCAGCAACAACTCCAGCTTCAACACCAGCTTCAACACCAGCATGACGTAGATGAGCCCAAATGCTGGAAAATGCAAGTCCCTCCCCCTGCTGGACACTGTAGGCATTGCTACCCCACATTTTACCAAATCTAAACGTTTAAAAGGGATCTGTTTGTGTTCATTTGATTTATATCACCAGTATTCCTTGCTCCTCAATGTGGAGAAAACGACCCTGGACCAAAACAGGGAATGAGTTTATCAGTGCCTAATTATGGTAGCACTCCTGAACAATGAAATCTTCTGCATTTATATGAAAGGAAATACCAGCATCTGTGATGCCTTGAAATGAAAGTTATACACGGAATCTGTCTTTCACGTAGCCAAGGCTGACCTTCTGTGAAGCTTGCTTCTAAACACAGGCTTAGAAAAATCCACATGACAGCTTCTGTTGGACTGACACAGCTTTAAAACAGAACCGTGGTCGCTCTGAGAAGTTGATCTGAACTCTTAGAGGAACATTCGATCAGGCCATCGTAGCGTCAGTCTGCAGAAGGAATGTTCTGGAAGGACTGATTATTAATAGGTTACCATCATCACAGTTACAGGAAGTCATGGTACATGTCATCCTTCTCATCACTGAGCTGGTATGAGATCTGTTCTGGACTCTGCTTTGGCCTACCACTAACAGTATAGTGGGTCATTCTGAGCTTGTTTACACCTTGAATTAACATGTGTTTCATGTCCTGATTGTATCTGAATATACTTTGGCCAAATTACGTTTATCAAGATCTCTCCCTGACCACCTTCCGAATGCGGTGTGAGTGATCCGAATGACACCTGGCTTTTCATGCGGTTCAGTTGAATCTGAAAACGCCCGTTGATGTAAGGTGTAAACAGCCTCTCTTGGTACTGAAGGCACCTTAAGGTGAAGAAAAGGTTGGATAGACCGATAGATGGAGGGCGGAGCAGCTCTTGCTACATTTCTACATTTCTACCTTGGACATTGACCGCTTGCATATGTTGCTCCCTGAAGATTTTAGGAACACGTTGCTTATCCCATAGTTATTATTACATTCAGTAGATTTAATTAATTCCTTAAAAAATTATCTGTTAAAATATAAAAGATTTAAAAGGAAGACATGGAGATTGGAGTGAACTGTAATGAATTTGTGTAACACTTTAATTGAACCCTGCTACATAAGGTTGACATAACCATGCCATAAACATATCATGGCAGATGTCTTGTCATATGCTGTTATGAGTTTTTCTAACAGATAATGTCCAGTATTAGAGTCATACAACAGGCACAATCTGATTAGTTGAGATGCGTTTTCACAATATTATTCCACTGAACTGCAGTCGTTAAGTAATGAATGCTTTGCAGCCACTGTACATTTCTCCTGCGTATAAGCACTGAAAATGACACCCGTTGGATATGCAACTTTCTCTCCTTGAATTGTCAAGAAATAAACGTTCAACAATGATTAAACCTACATTTTCTCACCCCAGAGAAGACAGAAAACAAACTGCAACCAAATATATTTCAAAAATGTTTAGTTTCGCTGAACATAATGGTTTAAAAAAAAGCAGATCACTGATACTTTAGTCACTTAGTCAAAGCTTTATTTAATGCATTTAGCCCATTTAATGAGAAATCGAGGAGAAAAATTCAAATATCCAGTGAATTATGTATATAAAACCAAATTAACCGCACTGTCAGTAATGCAAAAGGATGCTACTTTTTTAGTGGAAGGAACTGCCAATTTTAAAGCACAGTTGATATAATATTCAGGGCTTCTTTGTCTTACTTTTTTGGTTTGTTTCGCAGAACTGTTGAAAAACAGCAATAGAACACTGGAGGTTATGTGTTATCATGAATAACATCAAGATCATGATATTATTTAGTTGTAGATCATCACAGCTGTAACCCACTTGTATTCTATTGTTTAAATATAACAGTGTTACATTACCTTTACTGTTAACGTCTGTTATCGTCATAACAGGTGTTATAATGTGTATCGTCATAACAACCAGGTAATGGTAACAAGACCTGTTATATTATTGAACAAACTGATGATGGCTCATGACAGCATGTAACATCTGCCATGACATGTTCGTGGCATGACTATGTCAGTGTGTTACCTGATTCTGTTCAGAGTTCTGGGTTCGGCTGTGTCACGACGCTCTGCACGTATTCTGAACTCTTGAAGCACCCAGACAGTGAGTGAGTGTGTGGGGTTAAGTTGTGATTAGTGTCCTACTGACTGACTGTGCTGATATGTTCATTATCTGGTCAAGAACCGTTTCCTTAGCTGGAATTGAATGCATGGGAATCCACTGAAATTTGATGCAACTCCCAAACGTATATACATTATTATGTTTATTTATTTTATTTCCAATCGAACCACAATTAATGGAGGTATAAAATGAATTCCCCAGTTGAGGCCTTATACTATGATTGCTGTGTACAACTTTGACAGTGTTCCTCCTGTATTTTAAGTATCATAAATTCAGACCCTTGAACTGTTCTTTTATTAACTATTAGAATTATTGAAGCACAAAACGGCACTTTTTAACAGAATTTTTTGTCAGTGTGTGTAGATTTGACTGTGTATGTGTGAGTCAGAGAGACCCCACCCTTCTTCCCAAACTCCACTGAATGTAGTAATAGCTGTAGATTCACTTCAGCCTTTACTGTGATTTTCTTTATAGTAGCGGCCCTTCTTATTCATGTTCAATAGACATTTTTATTCTCATGCAAACTCATATATAAACTTGTATATGTCATGTTTCAATCTGTTCTGAATATTTAGTCTGAAATGTTACTCATCACTATCCTGGTATATCCGTGCATCTCATTTTGGATCACCGTGTGCAGCGTTTTTACTCTACAGTGTTCAGTACTGTGAGAGAACAGTACTGTCTCGTTCAAAAATAAAACATATTTCATGGCATAGAAGCAAAACTTCTTTAATGGTGCAGACAAACTTCTCACTGTTCTCTGATCATCTTCCAAAGAGAATCACTGTGTTGTACTGAAGCATTTGCTCATAATGTGACAAAATACAGAATTTTAATGTTAGCAAATATAGAGGGTGGACAACAGCATGAAAAAGAGCAGTGACTAAAGGCGTTCTCAGAGTGTCCCATCTCTGTTACAAACACGGAAAGTAACACTTCAAGTTGTAAAGCATTCTATGTCTTACAAATTCAGATTAGTACAGTGTTCAAACAGCAGTGGTGCCAAACATGAACTTAAAGGGACGTTTAATAGGTTTAATGTACTGTTTCTAATGCTTATCTCCCCTAGTCTCGTTGATTTGACAGAATTCTTTTTGTGTTTTCGTCCATCAGTGTTCTCTCACTACAATACCCAGCATGCATTGCATACAAACATGTCATACAGTCACTGGTGATCAGGGGCCGCATTCACAAACGTATCTTAAGAAAGAAAATCTTCTTAAATATGTGTTTTTTCTTAAATTCATTCTTAAGAAAAAAAAGTTATGAGAAATTGTTATTCTTTGATTAACATCTTTAGAATTCTCTTATTTTCTTTTTTCTTAACTATTTTCTTAAGAATACTTCTAAGAACAAGTGGTATTCTTGACAACATTATGTTCTTAAATGTGTTCTTCACACTTGTCTTATCACTGATGCTGCCTCTGCTGCTCCTGCCCGTCTTCGTCCATCACCCCACAATTATCATATTTTCCAAGGAGGCTGTTTTTTTCCACCATCACGTCTAGTTGTTGTTTGCTAAATTTTTTTAAACACTATGTTTTTCCTCCATTTTGCTTCTCTGAGTGGATTAAACTAAATAACAGAAGTATAAATACAAATTCAAAATCTATCTCATTGATGGTACATGGTAAAATGCAGCATAGCCGACATGAGCAAACAATGACGATTTTCATAAGAAAATCTAAAGAAAATAATTAAGATTATCTTGAGAATATTTGAGAACCTTTTGAGTTTATTTAAGAATTGCGTTTAAGAACATTCTTATGAACTTCTTAGTTTTTGTCTCAAGAATGTTTGCAAGTTTTTCCTTAAGAAAGCTTCTGTGAATCCAGCCCCAGGCCTGTACACAGACATTTGGAGGGCAGCCTGAATGTACATAACCCTTAATAACATAAATTACAGTACATAGCAGGTACGTTTAACTTTAATAGGGAGACATTTTGATTCAGAGGAAGGCAAACATACTGTTAGAAATCTTACAGCCATCCTAACACTCCTCAGAGTGGGAACTGAACACCAAACTTGACCATACAGGTCAAATATGTGATCCACTGCACTACATACCCAAATTAGTGATTCTAACTCTCTTTAAGCAGGTGGTCTTTCCACAGTGCCTCACATAAAGCTGGGTTTTTGTACAATAGCTCATTATGTTATTAGCGCCCCTAATTGTCTAACTCCCAGAGGGGGCACCAATGAGCGATGAAACTCATGGGATCCAAGCTGACCCACGAGCTCTGTCCCCAGAATGAGGCCATAAATGATGCCGGTGACTATGTACTATGCACTATGACCAAGAGGGGTGCAGTCTAGGGGCAAAAGGGTAGGGGCTCAAGCGCCTCATGATTTTTATTTTTTTGTGTTGGCTATAACTACCTAGCTTCTGTCAGTATTAGCAAGCTAGCAGGAAAAAAAAAAACAAATAAACACACACAAACAAAACAACTCACACTTTTATTATCCACCCCAAAGCAGTTGCAGTTTTTCAAAAGAACCTCCCAGATGTCTGATGAAAACATCATCAGTCCTAGTCTTTGAACTAGAGCATCTCGCTCTACTACGACTGTGGCAATGATGTGAATAGGCATGTTTACAGCAGATGTAGTGATGTTTAAAGTTTTCATTTTGGACATAGTGCCCTTTTAATGTGTAGCAACACAGTATTCACACACATCAGCACATTCAGTGTAAACCTTCCAAAGTCAGTCTAAAACAAAACTGTGCTTAAGGCTGGAATGTATGACAGGTCTTCCATTTCAGCGTTAAATATATTAGTGTAACAAGCACAAACTAGACTTTGGAACACTAAGACAAAGTAATGTGGTGAGACAACATTTACATCTGCGTAGTTCTTGGTGTTTTCATTATTTTGTCCACCCTCTGTATCAGCATGGTTGGGAACATACATCAGTACCACTCGATTTACAACAACAACATGCCTTAAATATGAATACAGTACTTAATCTAGTCCTAGCAACTCTGCTAAAGGCAGAAAGGATGGATGCTATTCGTTTGATCTCAGTAAGGAATCCTCCACACATTACTCTGAAAGAAAGAATTACTCGAATGTGGAATCTGCAGTAAAGTTGTTTCATCTTGGGTTCAAACTGACACACTGGATGATTTGGCTGTCATGCTTTACTTTTCACCACCAAAGGTTCTACAGCTTTATGACTTTTCTTTGTTTGTCATCGTGTTTTACTCTTCGTTGATTATGGGTGGCCTGTGGTTTTGTATTTTTCTATTGGAAGCAGTGATTATGTGCATATGGTCTTATCTTTCGAGAAATGTTATCGCCTGATGCTTGTTAGCAGGTTTTGGAATACAGTAGCACCACTGTGGTTCAATGTAATAAAAAAAGAATCAAAAATGTACAGTGTACTAATAAAATCTCATCAACTTCTATCACTTTACATGCTGTTGTGTATTTTTATTTAAAGGAGCCAAATCCTGCCTCTTCCTGTTTTCCTTACAATGTTTGTGTGGTTTTATGCATCTGAATTAATTTTTAAATGAAGGTTTTTTAAATTTTTCATACAACTAAAGAGGTAATTTTGTTAACATTCTTTATTGCTTATCATTTTGATCTTTCATTCAGAATTATAACTTTTATTTGAAGTACAATAATTAAAAGAAAGAATCTAAATCGTACAGCAAAGATGTGCGATGAAAGGTTGTTGAGGCTCAAATAAACAAATGGCTACAAGAAAAAAGCTGAACAGTTGAAAATGCCCATTTTCACTCTCAGGGCAATAATAATTAAGTTTAAAGCAACTGGAGTCGTTAAGAATCTGCTGGGAAGAGGACGTATATCTGACCCCACGCACAGAGGGGAGGATGGTTCGCATGGCCCAAGAATCTCAGCTGAGGAATGGCAGACATTAGTTAGGTCTTGTGGTCAGAATGTGTCCCAAACCACAATCAGGCAAAACCTATATAACCACAAGTTGTTTCAGGGGGTTGCCGGAATGAGGCCTCTACTGTCAAGGAGCAATAAACTCAAGCGCCTACAGTTTGCCAGATGTTACTGGAATTTTCAGTAGGATTGTGCTTTGTGGTCAGGTGAGACCTAAATAAAGCTTTTTGGCAACAAACACAAGAGGTGACTTTGGCGTAGACAAAAAGATAAAAAATAAAAAGATAAGTTTGTCACCTGCACTATGAAGTATGGTGGTGGATCTATGATGTTGTGGACTGTTTTTCTTCATAAGATTCGGATACATGGTGTCATGGGCTCCATGAAGTACCAGCAGATATTAAATTAAAACCTAAAATCTCAGCCAGGAAGCTTAAACTGCTCTGTATATCTTCCAGTAGGACAGTGATCCAAAGCAAACCTCAAAATCCACACAACAATATTTCACTGATTGGAGAATCAAGGTTTTGTCTGGGCCACCCCAGTCCCCTGATCTAAACTCCATAAAAACCTGTGGGATGAGCTGAAGAGGAGAGTCCACAGGCTTAGACACTGGAATCTGAAGGATCTACAATGAAAAAAGTCATGAAAAAAGTTTTTTACAGCCCGTTATACTAATGTTTAGCAGAGGTGCCTATATTTGCAGAGGGCAATGCAAGTTGTATGTGAATGGGCTTACCTACACTGCCTATCATCTAGGGCTAAATGAATTGTGGACCATGTCTAATTGCGATTTCTCTGACCAATATTGTGACTGCTATTTAAATTGTGATTATTATCTAAAAATTAGTCCAGGCTTTTTATTTTGCTTGCTCTTGCAATTTGAAAATTATACTTTTTTAAATTTTGAATTTAATGTAAAAATGTTTCTAACAACTGGTGAAAGGCATTCTTTTAATTTTGGAAATCAGAAGGATGTATTCCAATAAAAAGCAAAGAAAACATACCTGTATATTCCCGTTTTTCTACAGAAAAACAGTTTTTGGGCCGTAGGACACTAGCATTACTGCTACTGCTAACGCTCACTGACATCATGAACGTACATGAGACATTGTTGGAAAGTCCTAATACTTGAGTTAAAATGCTCTCAAAAATAGAACAGCAGTGCTAAAATATTTTATGCTGTTCTGTGCTCAAGAATAGTGATTATAGTGGTTATTGTGACATTGTCATTATTTTTAATAAAGTATGGCCACAAATTAATTTATTGAGGCCACAGGTTAAGTTTCTGCTGGTCACAAGTTAATATATTGAGGCCACACGTTTAGTTTCTCAGACCATGTGGCCTCAATAAATTAAACTGTGGCCTCAGCACATTCATTTGTTGCTTCAATAAATTAATTTGTGGCCATGAGAAACTTAACCCAGGCCTAAATACATTAACTTGTGGCCATGGCTTATTAAAAATAATCACCACGTCACCTCACAGGTTCAGGCTATCTGGTAGCACCAGTAAAACTTGTTTAAAACCATGTTTACATTCACCACAACACGGAAATTGCTAAATCTAATGCTGGAGCTAGACAGAGCAATGATGGAAGATCTGTCCTCTTTTATATGAGGTCTGTCAGCACACTTTAATGACTGAATGGCATGTGTGCGAGTGCAGTAATATTTATGCGAGCACTGTGCAGTGCTGTTCAATCTGACTGATTTATCAAGACTTTATCAGGTAAGCTCATTTAAAGCTAATTAGTCAATTAACTGATCTTAACATTGCTCTGTAACATTATTTATCATTAGACCTAATTATAAAACAACTTGTAGAAAATATAGGAACAGAGATAAACATTACTTCACCTTAAAGCCGGCACAAGTCTGCCTGTTAGTAGTTTTGACACTGAGCTGTGAGTGAGGCCTTCCCTGTAGCTTAATACAAAATCTTTTCAGCTATAGGAATAAGACAACACCGCAGCACCTTCCAGATGATCAGGATCGCATGTGTCAGGCATTATACTTTCCCCAATAACACCTTGCCACCATTTCTTAGTCTAATTTACTTCCAGCGCTGTTCTTACTGCAGGTCTGTTTTGAGGTGTCCTGCCAAAGTTTTTTCTTTGTTTGACAGAGGAATGTTTAAAGACGATTGTGATTTGCCGAGAGGCGTGTCAATCACAATTTTGCAAACAGTTAACTAGAGTTGAGAATTTAGCTGGTCAAACTGCCCCAAGCCTCCATTAAGCGTGTTGAACCAGTCACATACAGACACCCTACAGTTGTAATGCTGGAAAATGGCAAAGTTAGTGGAAGACTCACTTTTTTGTCCCTAATAAGGTACTTACCTTTCTTTTCCACGAAAGATGCCGTTCGTTTGGTGGAGCAGTTTTCATTTTAAGAGAGGAACAAGCTAGATAAGGACTAAAAGCTTCTCTTTGAGAATTACCTGCATGACCTTGAAGGATCTCATGACATTAGGCCTCATTTTTTCTTATATTTGTTCTTGAGAAAGGTTCTAGGAAAACGTCCACATCAGATTCATGACGTGTTTTTACACCACAGAATTGTTTGCACTTGAGTGTGTAGATTCTGTTCTTAAGAACAAATCCCAAATAAGAAAAGACTGGTAAATGTCACAAGGTTTGTGAGAACTGCGTAAGTGGGTTTTAAGAAGAAATTCTTCTTAAGAATGCTTGGTGAATGAGGTCCAATGAGCTTAGCTAAAGTTGGCTGTCTAATGTTTAATAGAATATAGATAATATTGTGCAGGTTGGGAGTACAGTCAGCATACCTTATTGTTTAACTTTACATTTTTACATTTTACCCTGTTTAATGTTAATGTTGTTTTGTATCCAGTTGTGTCCAGTGTTGTAAACGGGCAGTTCAGAGTTCTTATGTAAAAGCTAACAGACGTGAATTACTTCAATGTTTGAGCAGTAATATCACTAATGCTAATATTTACTGTGGAAAAACATGAAAACACAGAAGCCTGCAGCAAGTTGACACAGCTCACAGTTCTCTGGCTCATCTACTTGATGTTATCAAACTAAAGTAACCCTACCAGTTTTTATTTATAGTTAACATCACATCCTCTCTCCTGATCACAGACATCTTCTTTTCTTCTTCTATAAATCCATACTGCTCACCATCGTGACATCTTTCATGGAGAAATAAGTTAATTCCTTAATAAGTATGTAAAAGTATTTGAGTCCTCTACATTCTCATTCTTATGTGCTGCCATGCTGTAATGTTTGCCCAATTATGAAAACTTCCACTGCAGCGAATATGGTGTGGAAAAGTCCACTGGGTGCTTAATCAAGTATTTTTATTTAAGAGCTTTTTGAAATGTGTTGGGTTTTGTGACATCACAATATTTTTTGCAGCTTAGTTTCCACATATAGACGAAATGGACTGGTATGTTTTGAAACTAACATTGTCTATATATTACATCAAATTCATTTATCAAAAGAAAAACAAAGCAAGGAAAATTCAGGTTCCATCATATGGGCACATTCTTGCTTCCGTTGAGTACTTTTTAGTCAGGATGGTTTGAACAGGATTCTAAATTCGAAGCGTGACTTTTTTAGTTACCTCTCAAGTGTGGATGCACATGCCTATTTTTGCATGCAACAGCATTCAATTAAAATGAACTATCAGGATTTTGTTCATTCTTAGGCTTTTATTTCTTCCTCTGTAAAAGCGTCAGTGTAAAGTGGGACGCGGTTGTTGTAATTACCTGAATTATTACTGTGCACAGATTAAAAAGCCTCATTGAAAGCTTCATTATTTGACCTGTTAATGGGGGGAGAAGCCATTCATTTTTTGATAAACAGACCTTGGGATTGAGAAGTAAGCAATGGATTATACTCTGTAATTACGGTCAACAGTGTTTGGATGGTCAATACCGTGAGGCGTAGAGCTCAGCTCGCTGTGGGAGAAGGCCACCGAAAGATCAAGGCGACTGGTGGACAGGCAACACCTCCAGAGCTGCTGCTGTCTGCTGCTTTCCTCCTGTTGCCATAGAAACTAGGCCCCAATCCATCAGTGTCTCACAAGGACATGGACTGAGAGATATCTGCATGCACAGTATCCACACACACAGCAGCCTGCCTGAGACTGGGGGCGGTGCTGGGAGGGGGTCTAACGGATCGCAGATGGACAGAAACGGGAGGGAAAAAATGAGAGACAGGATGGATGGAGAGAAAGATGATGGAGTGAACTGTAGAACTGTGAAATGGTTATAAAGAGCGCTTCACAACCTGCTGAAAAAGAAGTTCTTGATAGCTGCAATGTATGTATCAGTTAAAAAAGATATTAAATTCAGTGTTGCTAATCAAAAGAGAGTAAAATAACCAAATAAATAAGCACGCATGTACAATAAATAAGCAATAAATAAACCACTACAGGACTACTTTTTGCTCAGAGAACAAATTGTGGAATAAGTGGCGAGGCCGCTTTTAGAATTTTTCCTTCAAAACTCCCACAAGACATATGGCGAGCATCCTCAGCAATTTGTAAAAAGCAGCTTAAAACGTTCATTTCTACTCAGCTTTTCTCTAA